TTTTTAAGAGACAAGGCCTCACTCTGTTGCCCAGGCTGGGGAGCAGTGGTATAATTACAGCTCACTGCAGCCTTGAACTCCTGGGTTCAAGCAGTTAAGGAATGTATGTTGAAAGACAGTATCAAGAAAATAATTTTAAATAAAGAACGGTCACACCAACACTACTTGGGGCACTCTTCATCTGTCTTGTCAAAGACTTCCCAATAACAGCCATCATTTGTCACCATGAATTATATAAGGGGAAGTGGAGGTAAAGGCAGCAAGCACACTATACCAATCTCTGAAACTTAAGACTCTGGGAGGCCGAGATGGGAGGATCGCTTGAGGTCAAAGAGTTCCAGACCAGCCTGAGCAAGACTGAGATCCCTGTCTCTACAAAACTTAGAAAAATTGGCCGAGCATGCTGGTGTGCACCCGTAGCACCAGCTACTTGGGAGGCTGAGGCAGGAGGATTGAGCCCAGGAATTTGAGGTTGCTGTGAGCTGGGCTGATGCCACAGCACTCTAGCCAGAGTGACAGAGCGAGACTCTGTCTCAAAAAAAAAAAAAAAAAAAGAAAGAAACTAACAGAACAAAGTCCAGCTTGCTTTGTGTCTTTCTGAAGTACGGTGGTGTACTGTACTAGTTCAACAATACAAAAGGCCCAAGGTCTAGTGGGTGACCTCTTGTACTTTCAGCTAGAAGCCTGTTGGTAAACCAAGTCCTTAATGCATCTTTTATTACCCTTGTATTTTCCCACAAAACAATGCTTTCATTTAATACTTCCAAAAAAATTGTCTTCCTAGTTCTTGGATCTTTCCAGACTCTTAGTGGGAATCCAAAAGAACTCTAGTTTGGAACTTGCATCTTATTCTTTGGCAAGAATTATGAAGTTGTACAATATCATTTTTTTTCTTTTATTTATTTATATTTTTAGAAACAGGGTCTTGCTCTGTCAACCAGGCTAAAGTGCAGTAGCCCAGTCATAGCTCATTCCAGCTGCAAACCCCTGGGCTCAAGTGATCCTCCTGCCTCAGCCTCCTGAGTCGCTGTGATTACAGGCATGTGCCATGGTGCTGGCTGATTTTTTCTTTTAAGATTATCATAGATTCACATGTAGTTATAAGAAATAATACAAAGATCCCTTGTACCCTTTACCCAGTTTTGTAAGATGTTAGCATCTTACAAAAAGAGTTCAATATCACATCCAAGATATTGATACAGTCAAGATACAGAATATTTCTATTACAAAGGTCTCTCCTTGCCTGTGTAACAATACCCACTTCCCTCCTGTCCCCACCCCCTCCTTAATCCTTAGTAACCACTAATATGTTCTCCATTTTTGTAATTCTGTCATTGTAGGCTGGGTGCAGGTGGCTCACGCCTGTAATCCTAGCACCTTGAGAGGCCAAGGCGGGTCGCTTGAGCCCAGGAGTTCGAGACCAGCTTGAGCAAGAGCAAGTAGACCCCTGTCTCTACTACAAATAGAAAAAATTAGCCACATGAGGTGGCGCATGCCTTTAGTTCCAGCTACTCGGGTGGCTGAGGTAAGAGGATCCCTTGAGCCCAGGTATTGGAGGTTGCTGTGAGCTAGGCTGAC